GGGATGGGAAGAGGGGATCTGCCATGAAAGTCCACCAGGTCACACTACCAGGTTGTCCCCAAACCCAAACCACCAAGCCTGCAGTTGTGCAAATGACTCACATATTCATTTAGCAAAAGCATGAAGATAGAGAGTCAAAGAAATACTTAACCAAGCCTGGGGATGGCATCAACTTCAAATAAAGCCAGAAGTGGCTAATGAGAGGGTAGAGGGGACGTATCCCTTTGTATTTCCACAACTAAAAGCATCTTGATTTAGGTTTTTCTTTTTTAATGGTGCTTATGGCTGCTGAGAAGGTTCAATGAATGCAAGGTCATGTGTGTGCATGTGTGTGTGTGTCTGTGACAGTGTGTGAGAGCATTCACGTACCACAGTATGTGTGTGGAGGTTGGATGACAGCCTCAAGGGTCAGTCCTCACTTCTGCCTTGTTTTTGAGGCAGGGGCTGTCCTGTTAGCCACACATTAGCCAGCCCTCGAGGGTTCAGGGGAAGAGGGACCATCTCGTGTCTCCACGTCCGGGAGCCCGGGATTACAGACATGTACCAGTCTGTCTGGCTTTTACACAGATTCTGAATAATTGAACTCAGACCAGCAGGCTAGCCCAGCAGGCTTCACCCACCAAGCCGTCTCCCTGTCCCAGGTTTCTAGTTTTCCTTACTGTCATTCATCCCAGGTATTTTAGCTGAATCTCTCTTCATAGGAAGAACGCGGTTAAGTGGGAAGATGAGCGTGTCTAATACACGGACACTTTCCATAAGCATGATAGCTGCCTACAGACCCTTCACAGCCTTCTGGGCTGTGCCTTCAGCTCTACCGAGCTGTGGCTGGTCCCTGCGCTGCCCTCTGATGGCCTCTGCAATGTCCTAGGACTGGAACCAGAGGCAAAAAGCTGGGCGTGTTTCCAGAGCTTTGGATACTTTTTCATCAACTTCCCACAGGACGAGCCCCTCCTCTCCCAGACCCACACTTCCTCGCAGTCCCTTAGAGCTGTGGTGCGGACACAGAAGCCGGTCTCCAGGAAACAAACGCGACCGTGCTAGAGGAAGTGAGACGCAGGCATCACACAGAACCCATTCTCTGGCAAGGATGAGCAACGGCCAACTCTCGGGCGGGGGGGGGGGGGGGGGGGGGGGGGTGGCGAGCGGCGGTCAGAAGCAAAGTGTTGGCAATCCGGCTGAGATCTGAGATGCTGCGTCCGGTGGCGTCCAGCCAGGGTAACAGGGTAACAGTAACAGGGTTCCCTCTCAGAAAAGCAAACCCATCCAGGGACACACTGGCTGGCGTGTGGTACAGGGAAGCGGGCTCCCTCACTGGCTGGCACTAACCTGCTTGAAACCTGGATGCAGGAGACAGGGAGGTGCTTTGCAGGCCACGAAACACTTTAATGTTTTCTCAGCAGAATTAGGGTTTTGTTCTTAAAGCCTTACAACGGACTAGAACAGGCCCAGCTATGTCACCAAGGGTAGCAACGTTTGTTAAACTCAGCAGATTCTAGGTACAAACTGCCTCCATAGATTATCTTCATAGACCCACATAGCCTCAAGGTCCCTGCAGCCGCCATCCCACCCACCAGCCCAAAACCCCAGGGGCGGGGGCTCAGAGTCTGACCTTTCACTTTGATTGAGACTTCTTATTTAAACTAACGTGTTTGGCTTGAGAGAGAGAGAAAAAATATATATATATATTAAATATATATTTTATATATATATATATAATTAAATATATATATTTAATTTTGTTTATCCAGGCCAGAGAAACAGGTTGACTACTTGAGTTCCATGCCTGGGGAACCGATGGAAGGAGACAACTGACCCTCACACTCATGAACACACCGAGTTAAATGAAAATTATTTTAAATGCATGCACAGGTGAATACTAAGCACGTCAAGGCGGTCACTCTCAAGAGAGCAACCCCGCTTGTGGCCCACCCCATCATGGCCTGACCTAGCTGCCGCTCTCTCTTTGTTGGACTGTAGCCACCAAATCTTTCTGCTCTACTCCCTTGCCCAACCCACCAGACACTACTTTTTCCAAAGCAGTGATCTGACTGTGCCTCGACGGCCAAAAGTCCCCCCATTTCAAATACAGTTTACGCCTTCTACAGCTCAAGCCTACAGCCGTCTCGGTGTTGTCGCAAGCAACAGACACCAACTTTGATAGCAAGCAATGGTGACACTCCTAAAACAAACCACGATGTGGAAGAAAAAGCTGAATTTTTATGTTTTGGACATATGTTGGTGCAGCCTTGGCTCTCCTGGAACTCACTCTGTAGACCAGGCTGACCTCAAACTCACAGAGATCCACTGACCTAGGACTCCCAAGTGCTGGGATTAAAGGCGTGCACCACCACACCGGCTTAAAAGCTCAAGTCTTGAGATCAGGAAATGGGACTGCCAAGGGTCATCAAAGCAGGAAACAAGAGACAGTCTTCTGAGAAGTCTGCTTCAGGGGTGAGTCAGTAGACATCTTAATCTGCATGGGACACAGTCCCCCAGCCAACTTTAAAGGTCAGGGTTCCAACTGCCTGGCCTAGATCCACCTCCCTGGCTAGAATACACTCCTGATGTAACAATCAAAACTGCCACTTGAGAGGCAGAAGCAGGCAGATTTCTATAAATTCAAGGCCAGTCTGATCTACAGAGCAAGTTCCAAACCATCCAGGACTATATGATGAGGCTCTGGAGGAAGAGTGTGAGAGAGAGACAGAGAGAAGTGGAGAGAGAACCTGTTAATAAGAAAGAAAAGAGCCAGAAATGGCATGTCCATGTGGATAGGGGGAATCTCACAGGGCCAAGATAAAGAAGTGCAGGCAATTGATGATGGCTAAGAGAGGGAGTCTTCCCCAGGGAGGAGCCCCCTGAATGGTTATTGAACATTCTAGTATCAAATAATCAGCCTTAAAGGCATATATACGTGTGTGTGTGTGTGTGTGTGTGTGTGAATGTGTGTGATGAAACACTTAATTTACTCAGCAGGTTTTATCCATATTTTTATCCATATATTTAAATACATAAAATAAATAATTAAGAAAAGAGGCCATGAGTTTGAGGAGTGGGCACATGTGACATGGGAGAGCTTAGAAGAAACAGAGGGAAGAGGAATGATGTGATTATCTTTTAATTTTTAATTATGTTTAAGCTTTTAAAAAGTTGATATTAGAGGGCCTCTGAAAGTCTCTGCCCTGCAGACTATCAAAGCAGATGCTGAGCCTGATGGCCAACTGTCGGGCAGAGTGAATGGAATTTTAGGTAAGAAGTGGGAAATAGTAAGAGCTGGAGGGGACGGGAACTCCACAAGGAGAGCAACAGAACAAGAAAATTTGAACACAGGGAACTTCCCAGAGACTCATACTCCAACCAAGGACTATTCATGGAGATAACCTAGAACCCCTGCACAGATGTAGCCCATGGCAGTTCAGTTCCTGAGTGGGTTACATAGTAATGGGAAGAGGGACTGCCTCTGACATAATCTGATTGGCCTGCTCGTTGATCACCTCCCCCTGAGGGGGGAGCAGCCTTACCAGGCCACAGTAGAGGACAATGCAGCCACTTCTGATGAGAACTGATAGTCTAAGATCAGAAAGAAGGAGAGGAAGACCTCCCCTACCAGTGGACTTGGGGAGGGGCATGCATACAGAAAGGGGAGGAAGGGTGGGATCAGGAGGGGAGGAGGGAGGGGCTTATGGGGGGTACAAAATGAATAAAGTGTAATTAATAATAATAATAAAATTTTTTTAAAAAAAGTTGATATTAATAAGAAAGGGCCAGAAGTTTGAGGCCAGCCTGATCTATAAAGTGAGTTTTAGGACAGCCAGATAGAGAAACCTTATCTTAAAAAAGAAAGAAAGAAAAAGAAAGGGCCAGAAGTAGGCAAAGAATGCAAAGAATGTGGTAGTGAAAGGGGAAATAGACTCCTGGTAAGCAGGAACAAGGCACAAATACTCTGTAGTCATGTTTGGCACCTGAAGGATCCTTACTAGTTTGAAGGTGCTGGAAGGCTTGGTGACAAGGATCACATTCTTTGTGTCCATCAGGGCCAGGGAGGAATGGGGAGGGGTGCTCCTAACTAGTAGCCTAGAAATAGGCTTTCTGAACTACGAGATCAGCCCTGAAGACCTCCAGCTGAAACCCAATTCCTCTCCTTTTAAGGCCTCGGTCTGGAAGCATGCTAGGTCCAAAGAACAGAGCTCCAAGACTCTTCCCGATCTCTCCCCTTGGCTGTCTGTCCTTGCCTCCCTCGTTGGCCATAGAGCATATGTGCCGTAGTAAAGGGAACCGGGCCAGGACTGGAGAGAAAAGGTGCCAGCTGCTGGATCTCCACTGTGGTACTTGTCTGTTCCTTCCTCCCCGCTGAAATGTGAGCTCCGAAGAAGCTGCATCCGAATGTCCACTCACCAGTGTGTCCCTATCAAAGTACCCAGCGCACAGGCAGCACTTGGAGAAACAAGCACCGGTCATGAGCAAGGAGCCAGTGCCTTGGAAGCTACCAAGCCTCTGGTGTTGACCTTGGGCCAGAGAGGTAAGGTCAGGGCTGGTATAGAGCCAAACCAAAGAAAAGCTGGCTTCCAAGCCTGGTTCTGGTCATGTGAGGCTGGCATGGCCCTTGGCCATTCTGGGGTTCTATTGAGGGTTATACCATCACCTATCACAATGACACTGAGAACTAGGCGTGCAGTTAGCACAGAGCGGTGTGCTGTCTCTCGCCTCTTCTGTCTCCGCCATAAGAAGATCTCATTGTAATCAGCTGGCAGGAACTGGATGCTAAGTCTCTATGGCTTTGGAGTTCCATATTCTAGTGAACAGACTGACAAGGGCAGATTACAGCCCAGAGGGAGAGATGAGGCATCAAAGATACAAAGATACGAAGGGCTCCTGGGATGCACTTGGAAAGTCTCACGCTGAGCCTCTGGCAATGCCTGGCCCGTCAGGGGGAGGAAACCCTCATCAGTGTTTATTTGCAGATGAGACTTGAAGAGAGATACATAATAAGCATCTTTAGAAAGAGAATTTTATTAAAAGAAACAGCTGCCATGGGCAAAGACCTGTATAGGGACAGAGCTGTGGTGGCTTCCAACCAAGATTGTGGAAGAGTCCACATACGCCCTCTGCATCATTGGAAAGGGTCTAAGTGTGGCTCCCAAGAACGCAACCTCACTTCCTTGCCCTTTGCTGTACACACATGCTTGGGCAAGGCAGTCCTTGTTGGACACTGGGTTCTTTTGTTCTGTGTCCATTTCACTGAACAGGAAAATGGAGCCAATCCACATTCTAGACATTCAGGCAACGACTGTTTTGGCCCATGTTATGGATCACTGCCCAGGAACATGACCTTCTGAGTCAACGATCAGATAGGCAACGTTCCAGAGATGCCCCCACATTCTAGAAGGAAAATTAAGAACCCCTTTAACTTTCAAGGGATTTTTTTTTTTTTTTAAGGAGTTCTACATTCTAAAGTTGTTTGTTTGAGACAGGGTTTCACTCTGCAGCCATGGCTGGCCTAGACTCACTATGTAATCCAGACTGGCCTCATCCTCAGAGATCCAACTGCCTCTGCCGCCCAAGTGCTGGGGATTAAGGTGTATGTGCAACCACCCCCTGCCTTATTATATAAAGTTTTAGGCCTGTATTCCAAATCGACTGGAAATCTGACCTTCTGGGTTGCCAACAAGGAGCCAAGCTCTGGGAAACCAGAGAAAACCACTCCCAACTTTCTTAGTTAAAAAAGAATTCAGCATCCTAGAATGGCAAAGTCACAACATTCTAGACAACGGTGAGATCCAAAGTTCTAAACGTCAGTGCCGGCTCTCACAAGGCCACACAGGGAAACCAACACTGAAGACCATCCCTCTCAGGAGCAAAGCTCCTCCCTCCAGAAGGCTGCTTCCCTGCGCCCTCAGAGCTCCGTGGATGGTCGCTCTACAACCGAGCCGTCCTCTCCTGGGTAGTCTGGCACGCGGAAGGAGACGTAGGGGCAGGTCTTGGTGTTGAGGCAAATCAGTTTCTTCAGCGAGGCTGTGTTGACGAGGTTGAAGCCCACCTCACCACCGAACGTGCTCGGCTTCCAGTACTCCGGCGAACAGATGGGATTCCCTAGGAGGCCCTTGAGGGAAAACGGAGCCCCAATCTCTATCATACTCTCCCCAAAGATGGAGTTGGGCTGGCACTTTTCCAGGAGCAGCCCCGGGTAGAACTCCAAAGCGTCGATGTCGCCATACAGCTCCTGTAACTCCGCAGCCATTTCCTCCTCTCCTGCAGAGCGAAGAGCTGCAGTCAGTCACGGTTCGGTTAAGCTCGATCTGGGCGTGGAACCTTCTAGACTCAGGGTTTTTACTTTGTTTTTTCCTGGCATGACAGAGACTCCAGAAGAACTATTTGGGCAACTGGGGGAAATGTCCTAAAATTTGGCCCTGCTGGCATCAGGGAACAGCCAGGAAAGAGAGAACAAATAGACCCTTCACTGTGGACTATGTGGTGACGAAAGAGGTTAGAGATTTAGATCTGTCCCCAAAGAGCTGGTAAGCCACTCGCCCCATCCTCTGGACTTAATTCCTGGGCCATCACAACATGGAGACAGCATCCTGTCTTGATCCCCTAAAGTAAGATGTCACAGCCATGCCCAAGCCCTGTTACTACCCGAGGGTCAAGTGTACATGGGTGCATTTGTGTGTGCGTGTATGTGTGTGTGTGTGTGTTCAAGTTCACACAGGTATTCAGAGCCAGTCTGTTCTCTGCTCCTCGGAACCCTTTGTCATGCGACACTAGAGAGCTATCAACATTCCTGTCCCAGAACTGTGGGGAACTCCTCCACTGACCCCAGGATTGGTTCCACTCTGTGACGACTGCATGTCTACAGATGGTGACCAAGAACAGACATGAACATCCCCATTTATTTCTTCAACCCCACCTTCCTATGGGGGGCAGGGGTCTGTCACACCGGTACAAACAAGAGGGCTCTAACTTGACTGCTCAACATCTGGGGGGGGGGGGGTTGGGAGAAAGAGCGAGGAGAGAGAGGGAGAACAGAAATGTTTTGAGATCTATTTTATTTTTAATTGTGAGTGTGTCTCTGTGTGGGTGTGTACATGTGAGTCAGCTGCCTGTGGCAGCAGAGGCATTGGGTCCCCTGGAGCTGGAGTTAAAGGCAGTTGTGAACTTCCCAAGATAGGTGCTGGGACTCGAACTCAGGTCCTCTGAAAGAGCAGTATGTTCTCTTAACTGCAGAGTCATTTATCCGGCCCATGTATACAGATTCTTGAGCACCACAAAAACTTCCTGGATCATGACCTCCAGAAGCATTTGGGACTTGAGGATGTGTGAGTGTGTGCCTGAGTGTGTGTGTGTGTGTGTGTGTGTGTGTGAGAGAGAGAGAGAGAGAGAGAGAGAGAGAGAGAGAGAGAATATGTATTACTGGGTTTCAGATCTCTGACAAGCTGCTGAGGTGCCTATTTAACATATCAAATCGGACCTGGCCTGCAGGTTCTCCCAACATCTCTCAGTTCCTACCCACTACAAGGGAAGGCTGGCACACCCCTCCCTCTGCCTGGGCTTTTCCTCTCCCCAAAGTGGCTTTTACATATATACTCCAGTCATTTTAGTTCCCTCTTTCTCTCGCTCTCTCCCCTTCTTTCTGTTTGCACTTTTCTTGACCTTGTGTGCCAGCTTGTGTGCAAGCTTTCTCTCTCTCTGCTCCCTCCTTGTCTGCATGGTGACTTTATTGACCCCCTCTTTGAGGCTGGTAAGCTGACTCCAATAAACCTGTCTTTATACTTTAATTAGCATGAATTGGCTTATTTCATCAGTGGAGAGAAGCTTTGTGTGTGTGTGTGTGTGTGTGTGTGTGTGTGTGTGTGTGTGATTGTTTTGTTTTGTCAAGACTGGTTAAACCAAGAGCAAGTTCTCAAACACTGAGCCATACCGCCCCAACCAGAAACTTTTAATGCCTTTCTAAGTAAGTACTTAAGAATCGCTGACAGGATGCAACCCAAGCCTTCAGCACCTGAGTTCCCAGTTCAGCGCCAGCCTCCCTTCCCACCTAGCTCACACGCTCCCCCACATCTATGTCCTCCAGGTACAGACTTTCCTTTGTCTTCCCCTTGCCATACCCGAAGGATTCCTCCCTCTAATTTCCACGTGGAAAATTCCTGTTTCTCCTCAGACCCACATGGAGGGCCCTCATTACCATCACATTCCCTGCCTTGCCTTACAATGCCTGGCGGAGACGGTGTTGAGGAAGCAGCCACCTACCCGTGAGCTCCTGGAAAGAGCTGTAAGGCTTCATACCAAACCTCTTTCTGTACTCATTGAAGGGCTGCAGGCGTAAGTCTCGGGACTCCTTGATGACATCTATGGCCACGTGAAGGACATGGGGGTCAAAGTTCCTGCCTCCACCAATCTGCAAGAGATTAGCATGCCGTCAGTGTGAGAGCCAAGCCAGGCTTGCACACTGTCCTGCCTAAGAGCCTAAGAGAAGAACTCGGGCTGTGGTTCAGAAGAACTCGGGCTGCGGGCTGCAGTTCTTCCCAGAGAACACAGTGCTGCATCTGGCTCCAGCCGGTCCCCCGTCATCCTCGCTCTGAGTGTGCCTGCTTCCTCAGTGCCGAAGGGGCAGCGCTACACTCCCTAGTAACTCAGACTCCCTGAGGTCACACCAACAGGCAGTCCCATCTTTATCGAAGGGGGGCGGGGAAGTCTAGGTGAAAAGGAAGACTCCAGATCCTTGGGGTTTGGCCGCCATGCCTAGCTAACTAGGCAAGCCTTAGGCCAAGTGAGAGATCCTGTTTCAAAACCAAGGTGGACGGCTCCTGAGAAGTGACACCCACAGCTGACCTCACACACCACACACACACACACAAGACCTCACAAAAAGTCATAATAGTTAAGGGACATCGGTGTAAGAGACGCTCTCTACTTCTGAAATAATCATGTTGCCGCTTAAGATGAAGATCTGTTTGGACAGAACAAGTAAAACTGAGCAGGAAAGAAAAACATAGCTGGGTTGAAATCATACGGCTCAGAGCAAAACAAACTTGGAACGGCAAGCAGGGCGAGGTTCCAGGGCCAGCTCTGCCCAGTCCAAGCTGTGCAGCTGGAATTGGGCACCCCACCGCCACCTCCACCATCACCAAAGAGGCACTGAAGTCCAAGCTGCAGCTCCAGCAAACGTGACCTCCTCTGAAGATATAACAGTCTCACCTTGTCGGTGGCTTAACTCTACCCGCTTCCCATCCGCCGCAGGAAATGACCATCTGATAACGTTTAATGGAAAATTCCAGAAATAAACAATTCCTAAGGTTTAAATTGCTTGCTCTTCTGAGTAGTGTGGTGAAATCTGATGAGGACTCTCTCCATCCTGCCTAGGATGTGAATCATCCTTCTGTCCAGCATGTCCCTACTGCACCGGCCCCCTGGCTTGTCGATCACCTGCCATCTTAGTTATCAGGTCAACTGTCTTGATATCTGAGCGCTACGCCCACGTAAGCCTTATGCAGTAAACTGAATATCATTTACTGTGTCATTCATTCATCTCACCCTGTGTCTTCACACAGACACCATGTCAACTCACATTCTCCCAAGAGGGATGAGTATAGTATAGTACACTACTGAGAAAGATCGCATTCTATACTTTATTACAGAAAATTGTTATACATACTCAATTCTACTATTATTACCATGTCTCTCTCTGCACCTAATTTATAATGCATAATTTATAAGTTAAATTTCACTACAGTTTGTATGTATAGAAAAAGTATATATATATATATATATATATATATATATATATATATAT